TTCAGGGTCAGTATTTTGTGAATGAAATTCACAAATTTACTTTTGATACAACATGAAAAAAAGAAGAAGCCATATTTTATATCATGTCCAAGCCAAATTGTTCATGAGCAGATAGTGTCTATCATGCTACCACGGACAGATCCATGAAGTTTGAAAGGGAGGCATCCAAAATACATTCAGTGATTGGTAACAGTGTTAAAAATTCAGGGGAATCCTGGGGTCGTTGAGGTTTTCAGCTTTGGGACCGTGCATGCTAATCTAAAGATTCCTAAATCATTAATTGTTTCATTGTTTCTGAAAGAAGCCATGATTAATGTAGGTATATATGGTATTTAACTATCTGTGTAACTGCATTGACTGCACTGTACCACACACCCTGCTGGTGGACACAGAGCTATCTTTACAATATGGATGCGGTTTATGTGGCAGATGTAATACAGGGGGACTAGGGCTCCCCCGATCTGTATCACTGCACTGTATCACACACCCTGCTGGTGGACACAGAGCTATCTGTACAATATGGATGCAGTTTATGTGACAGATGTAATACAGTGGGACTGGGGCTCCACCTATCTGTATCACTGCACTGTATCACACACCCTGCTGGTGGACACAGAGCTATCTGTACAATATGGATGCAGTTTATGTGACAGATGTAATACAGGGGGACTGAGGCTCCACCTATCTGTATCACTGCACTGTATCACACACCCTGCTGGTGGACACAGAGCTATCTGTACAATATGGAATCAGGATGCAGTTTATGTGACAGATGTAATACAGGGGGACTGAGGCTCCACCTATCTGTATCACTGCACTGTATCACACACCCTGCTGGTGGACACAGAGCTATCTGTACAATATGGAATCAGGATGCAGTTTATGTGACAGATGTAATACAGGGGGACTGAGGCTCCACCTATCTGTATCACTGCACTGTATCACACACCCTGCTGGTGGACACAGAGCTAGCTGTACAATATGGAATCAGGATGCAGTTTATGTGACAGATGTAATACAGGGGGACTAGGGCTCCACCTATCTGTATCACTGCACTGTATCACACACCCTGCTGGTGGACACAGAGCTATCTGTACAATATGGATGCAGTTTATGTGACAGATGTAATACAGGGGGACTGAGGCTCCACCTATCTGTATCACTGCACTGTATCACACACCCTGCTGGTGGACACAGAGCTATCTGTACAATATGGAATCAGGATGCAGTTTATGTGACAGATGTAATACAGGGGGACTGAGGCTCCACCTATCTGTATCACTGCACTGTATCACACACCCTGCTGGTGGACACAGAGCTATCTGTACAATATGGAATCAGGATGCAGTTTATGTGACAGATGTAATACAGGGGGACTGAGGCTCCACCTATCTGTATCACTGCACTGTATCACACACCCTGCTGGTGGACACAGAGCTATCTGTACAATATGGAATCAGGATGCAGTTTATGTGACAGATGTAATACAGGGGGACTGAGGCTCCACCTATCTGTATCACTGCATTGTATCACACACCCTGCTGGTGGACACAGAGCTATCTGTACAATATGGATGCAGTATATGTGACAGATGTAATACAGGGGGACTGAGGCTCCACCTATCTGTATCACTGCACTGTATCACACACCCTGCTGGTGGACACAGAGCTATCTGTACAATATGGATGCAGTTTATGTGACAGATGTAATACAGGGGGACTGAGGCTCCACCTATCTGTATCACGTGCGCTACTGATGGATACAGAGCTATCTGTACAATATGGATGCAGTTTATGTGACAGACGTAATACAGGGGGACTGCATTAGCATAACTCAGCCATGCAGCTAGAAGCCAGGGTTGGAATAATCAATGCACTATTGGGTGCAAAAAGTGATAAGAAATTTGTGCCACATTTCAATGAATTTTAGACAAAGGCTGGATCCATGTTAGTCTATAATTGTGTCCCCAGTATATATCTGTAACAACAGGGAACAACCCTCCACTGTGTGAGTATGAAGTGGTTTTAGTATGCTTTAGTGTCAGCAATATTCCAGTTATATACCAGTTTGGACAACCCCTTCACTGACAAATAGATTAGAATGTATTTGAGGAAATTATCAGCATCCTCTTCTGTCAAGACCTTCCTGTCCATGTTGTCTCTGAACCCTCCTACCCATACACTCATGATGAAGGCAACGCATGCTCTTGTTAACTGAACATAATACCTACAGCATAACAATCCCTCACAGTTACATTTATAGTTGTGTTCACATAACCTTAGATTATGCACGATCATAATTGAAACAAAATATTATGAATGCAAAATAAAATAAAAATTGATCCTTGTCCAAAATTTCATCAGAAAAGCTCAATTTCAATGTTATGGATTTGTAAAAATGAAAATAAAAATCTCCTTAAACATTAATACAAATTCTGACCCTCTGATCATTATTTTCAGCAAGTAACAACAGAAGCATTTTTTTAATTAATAGTCTTTCATGTCTCATGTCTACTTTTTGTACTACTCCAATTCAAACTATATGCATCAATCACACCAGCATAAGTTTGTCTAAACCTTAATCTAAATCTGCTTCAAATTTCTAATCTTCAATTTAAAGAAATTTGATACTGTAATTTGAAAGTAGCATCCACACTCTTAACATTTGAAACTTGAAAAGTACCAAGGAAAACACCTTCAATTAAGCTGACCAACAACTGGTCAAGAAGTTGTTGATCAGCTAAATGCTAAACAATGGGAGGAATGGACCAACTGTTTGTATGTGTCGGGCGTCGTGATTGCATCTCGAGCCAGTGGCTTGTATTGCATCATTCACCCCGCTGCTAAGTCTATAGTAAACACTGGTCATGACACCTCAACATTCTTGTTGACATACACAAGTTGTTCATTTCAAATGTTGAGGGGCCTTCTCAAAAGCCTGTACACATAGAAGAAAATACATTTGAACGTATGATACAACTCTGAACTATTGCATTGCATAATTAACAACGTGGAATCTGTAAAAGTCAAACTTTGCATTGATTCTAGGTTTTTGTGTTTTTCTTAACTGGTAGTGGTAGGTCCTGATGAGAGGAATACACAAGGGTCTGTACGCTGATTATCATAAGACATGCTAGCTGAATCATCAGTTAGTTCATCCTCCAAGACAACTTCAATCAAATTGAGGAAAACGTGTTCTTCCATCAATTGCAGAAACTCATTTGCAAGTTAAACATTTTTTTTGTGGCTTGATCCAGAATATCTGAATGAAGTTTATATATTTAGATGAGTATTGTTTGTATGGTGACTGCAGATATGTACCCATATCTACTGCAAAATGAAACATGATCATAGGTGAGTGAAGAGTAACATGGTTCTTCAAATCCTGGACATTTTCACAATACTAGTCTGTTTTGTTACTGATTTTACAAGGATACATATGAATAGAATTGTTTTTTTAATTTATTTGTACTAAATTTTCTTGTGCTTATTGTCCTTTTTCGTTTTACATAATAATTACTTCTTACCATTGTAGAGACAGACATTTAATATAAGAAATATAAAAACTGTTTCAGCAAACACTATTCATACGTGTATGGCAGTTGTCCAAGCATTAGTTTCATCACTCTCATATATTATATAAGTTCTTTTGATGAAAACATGAAATAGGAAGAATGAATGAAAAACATCCTCTAATTAATTTTAATAGTAACTATGTAAATTTAGCATGCTTAATGTTTATTAGCATGCTTAGTGATGCAAAAATGCAACAGCAATGGTTGTGTATGTTCAAAAAACATGTATGCCTACAGTAGTGTATGAAATTAAGCTTGAAAGTCAATGGGCCTTTGTTTTAACCCTAATGTAAAACATATAAGATTTAGGGGGGTCACTAGACCCTACATCTGAAAACCTAAGGAACCCCAGGATCGCTCTTACTTCCCAACACTGACTACAAGGAACATTGTATTCAAACAACATGAAACTGCATTAGCAGTTCATGGTTAGAATTATATTTGGCAAATTGACAAGAAAAAAGGTTGGTTTTTTTTTACCAATTAACACATACCCTTATATCCTGGAAACATTGCAAATATTAATTGACTGAATAAGTACCTCTTTATATCACATGTCAGGGTGATCCAAAGGATTTTGAGGACTCTCAACGTCTTTGATCTGTTTCACATATTAACATTATCAATGCGGAAAATTACTAGCAGCTGTGCCGAGAGTGGTAGCGATATAATGTGTTTAGCACTTGAATGTTCTCCAAAATGCTGAGTATGTTACAAGAGCTTATAATGCTATAAGAAATAATCCAAGAAACAATATATCCTAAAATTGAAAATTGAACATGTATTGGAAATAATGTAAGAAAAACATGATTAATGTTGAAAATTTGAAACAATAAGCAACAATATTATTATCACATGGGTAACTTTACAATCTACAAGCATTACTTGATATGTTGATATGTACAACAATGCATATCAATGTAACTAAGCTGACTATAGATTTCTTTATCACATCTTGAAATTGCATATTAGGAATTTATTTCCCAGTCACAATAAACAATCAAATTAACTGTGAATTGGCGTGCATATTGCAAATAACAATAGAATACACAAAAACAATCGCCTGTAGCGCACAGAAGTTAACTTGACAGAGCAGCTTCGACCTGTCGTCAATTGGCTTGGAAGATGCGCGTGTTAAAAGCACGACAGTGTAGCGACACTTCGTGTTGACGAACTGATGTCGATTACACATTATTTATTGCAGATTGGCCGCGGACGATATCACTGTCGGCAGAACAACGACTTAATACATAATATTAAGCCTATAATAAACAACAGCGAAGATCGACGACAACCTTGACTCTTTATTGTAAAACACGACGCTACTATAATCCACTAGCGTGAGTCATTCTACAGTTCCCAAATACTTGCTTATGAATGGATTTCAAAACAGACACGCATTGTACCCATGTTTTTCTCGACTTACCATATGTAGCGGCGTATCCTTGATGCACGTAGCACCAACATAGCACCAAAGTTAGTAATCCAATGGAATTATGCATATTCCCAGTTAGAAACTGTCACAAAATTCACGTCATATTGCTAGTAATCAAATCCCATCCCTCGCGCACAGTGATCAAAGCCTTTTGTTGATACCGCTACGTTCGAGCAGAGTTACCTCCTACCTCACTTTCGTATTTTAAAGGGAGGTAATTTGTGCAATCAGTGGTAAAATATGAAGCGATAGTAAAATATCACTGAAATTGTTTACCGAATTTATTCAAGAATTTAATTTGTTAAATTCTTGCTCGAATTTATTCAAGAAGGCCATCTTTCCATATTTGCAGGTGTCCAAATTTAAAGTGTGACAGGTGTGTCTGCTAATTTATGATAAAGACGATTATTTTGTATATTGCATATCTGCTGTAATGTGCAAACTACATCTAATTTGAAGGCAATTGTACCCAAACATATTAGTATTCGAGTTTCAATACACGAGCATTTTACACGAGTAGTTTCCCAATCCAGCTAACTAAGTGAAATAAAATAGGTTTAATTAATCTCAATTCATTTAGTTCATAGGGTTGAAAAGTTATTTATAATCTCAACTAACCTTGATTTTCAGTCGCGCGTGTTCTCTTTGAAACACTTGCTATGACAGTAAATGCAATCACAACTTTATTCATCTTATCTTAAAAGTAACCATAGATGTCTCGCAGCCATGTCAAACTGAGACACTATTGGGAGTTTCTTCTAGATCTAATGTGCAAATCACGCAAGTTGGATTCAAGTCGTACAGATCCCAATTTGTTTGTCTGACAGAGCACAGAGCCTGATGTATATAACGATTTAAATACCAGCTGGCAATTTCCCCTAACTATACACAGAGACAATATCGCAGTCCCACCAAGGACCTTATTACAATGTCTAGACCCACAGACGGAACCTTATTAGAAGCAAAAGAAAAAGCAGAAACTAAACTCACCTCTTTGAGCTTGAAAGAAATTAAGGAACAATTGACAAGACCTATATTACAAAGAATATTGGCACCTATTCTGAACATAAAAGGTACAGATCATAAATAACATAATTGTTTGTTCAGTATTTTGTATGAAAGTGTGCGCTTAATCTTCACTACAAAAAATATCCCTCAAAACATTCATGACGCCTATTTTTGTTCAGTATATATATAAAATTATGTATTTAAATTGACTGAGGTATTACTACTGTGCGTGTAAAACTAAAATGTAATGCATACTATTACTTCTCACAAATATTATTTTTGTCCGTCACCCTGACTGATCGTAAATCCGTGACTTGGTTGATTGTGTCACCGTGCCCCGATGACGTAGGACGTCGTCATAATATCAATCACTGCATGGAATGCGGCGTAAACAACAAACACGTGTGTCAGTGTGCATCCTTGATACGTCCACTGCTTTCTCTTGTAAGAATGAGATTCGGATGGGAATTTCTGAGTGAGACTAGTATTGATGCATGAGTGAAAAGAGTAGTTCTTAGTAATGGCCTGGTTGAATGAGTGTGTTCTGGCGGTGTATCGTTGCTCAGACTATCGACGCAATGCTGTGTCTGGTCCAGACTATGTCATGTTAAAACGCCACCGTATATAACTTAAAAACCGCAGATATTTCTCGATACATGTGTGTATGTTAACTTTTAAAACTTTAGTTTTGTTCAATTCACTTCAGTTTCGTGTACATGTCATCACTTCGAGCTTTCCTAGCGGCGTTAAACCCAACTAACTTACTTAACTTAACAAAAAAAGCGAAGCGACTAACTAAAAACTAACTAAACGACTAGCCAAAACAACAACTAAACTAACCAAAACAACACAGAAACACCAAATAAACAACCTAACAAACAGCTAACCAAATAATGCCTATCAAACAATTCAAAACAACAAGCAACAAGCAAACAGCCAAAGTTACAAAGAACCAAGCAAACAACCAACCAAACAAACATCAAACTAAATACACCAAGCAACCAAACAACCAAATATAAAAAAATAACCAGCTCAGCAATTTAAAAACAAACAAACATCACTTCTGGCTTTCCCTGCGGCGTCAAACCCAACTAAACGAACCAAAGAAACTAAACTAAGATAAAATAAAATAATATAACCAAGCGACTAAGTAAGCGATAACTAAACAACTAAGTAAATAACCAGCTAAACAACTTCTAAATTAAACAAACAAACAAACACAGATAAAACCAAACAAAAAAACAAATGAACAATCAAGCAACCAACCAAACAATAAAAACAAACAAAAACAAACAATACTAACATCCAGCAATAAAAGAAACAAACAAACATACACAGAAACAACCAGCCGATGAAACAACCAACCAATCAACCAGCAAAAGCAATAACCCCCAACCAAACAACCAGCACCAAGTACTAACCAAACAACTAGCCATCCAAACAAGAAAAGGACCAACCAAAGAAAAATGGAAACAAATTTCCATTCCAACAACCTAGAAACAACCAGCCAACAAACAAGCGAAAAACCAAACATGCGAACAAACATACAACCCCAACAAAACAAACAAGCTACCAAAGAACCAACCAACTAACACTTAAACAAATAAACAATCCAAGAAATCAAAACCAACCAACCAAACACGCACCCAAGAAAAAAGACAAAACAAACACTGAACCAACCAAACAATCCAACAACCAGCCAACGAACCAACCAAATACCCACCCATCCAAACAAACTTAAAAGCCACCAAACAAATACATACAATTAACCAACCAGTTATAAAAGACAAACACTAAAACAACCAACCAATCTACTACCAAAAAAACAAACAAAGAAGCAACTAACCAACAAAACAACCAACAAAACTAAGAAACAAACAACCTAATAAGCAACCAACCAACGAAACAAATAAAGAAACCATCAGTTAACCCCCCTAAAACCCCAAACAAACAACAATACAAACCACCAAATAAGCAATCAAACAACCAACTAAGCATTCAAACGAAAGAAGCAAGCAGCCAAAGTACCGAAACAAATACAGAAGCAAACAACCAATCAAACAACCAACCAAACACAGAAACAACCAAGCAGTCAAACAAACAAACAAACAGACATATAACCAAAAAAGCAACCAAGAAGGAAAAAAGAAACCATAAACCAACCAAAGAAACAAAAAGGATGAAATTTGTAGATTGTTACACCTAACTGACAGTTCTATTCTCAGAGTTACGCAATTGAGATACGATGACATGCATCAACCAAGTCAGCGAGCCTGACCACCCGATCCCGTTAGTCGCCTCTTACGACAAGCATAGTCACCTTTTTCGGCAAGCGTGTGTTGCTGAAGACCTATTCTAGCCCGGATCCTCACGGGTCTCTATTCTCAGAGAATTGCACTTTGTGTGTAATTGTTTGGCTTTCTTCAATCTAACATTGAAATCTCATCTATCATAGGCTTATAAATCCCTAAATATGTCACGAGGTGGCACAGCAGCCGTGCCATACCACTAATATTGTAAAGTTAAAAGTGGAGATCACGGGTTCGAACCCTAGATTCAACACGATTGTAATGCTTGGCCTGTTTCACTAAATTTGAAAACGTATGGGATCGCAGTTTGAAGACAATTCTCCCGGGACAAGCAGACATACAGTGACAAAACTTACATACATTTAGAAGCAGCGTTAATTATGTCAGAGATGTATTTATCTGCACAGTACATATCCAATGGGTAAACATTGTCTTATGTTGCGTATTGAGGATAAACAGTAAGGTATGATATATTATGCACAGCATGAAAAGGATATAGATACATGTGTAATAATATGGAATAGTATTGCTTTGTTGAAATTATTTGCAAATTTCCATTGGTCATTAAATACCAAAATTAAGCCGGTGATAATACATTGAGGCTAGAGGCGTAAAGTTTTATGAGTATTGTGCAATAAAATCTTCATCAAGCACAAGATGTAACAAACACCTAAATGTAACGTATTTCTTATTCAAATAGCGAAATGATTTAACAAGCATGAATCAGATAACATCATTTAAACCTTTTCAAAGCGCTCAAACAAAGCAAACGAAGTATCAGTGATGGTCTTTGTCGTCTCAACATGACGCAATCCAATGTACACTAATCGGATGACTGGTCTTGTATTTTCTTTACAATTATCACAATACTTGGACGTAGAGTTTCCTATTTATGACTGTTAGAAACTCATTATCTGCCAATCAACATAAATCCACACATTTTTTTAAATATAAAAAAAACACTACGATAGCAAGTGTGCCTCTCGGGTGTTTATTATAGATAACAAAGAAAACCGTTTAATCCGATTTAATTATGGCTGCAGGGCTTGTCATGGTTTGGATACTCAAGTGAAAATCCCACGTGGGGCATTGTTTTCTTGTTTAGTATAACACTTACACGCCTGACGTTTGTCCAGTGGGGATTACGGTGCAGAAAATAGGTCCCCAGTGTCTGATGCTTGTCGTTAATCCGGAAAATAGGATCGGTGGTTAGAATGCGAGACAATCGTGTCCTTTTCCTCCACGGCTTCGAGAGTTAATTGTTCATGCTGTCAATCACTGGTTTGTCTGACCCTGAATTACAGGCTGTCGTGATACAGCTGTAATATTGCTGATTGGCGTGAAAAAAACATTCTCACACTTTCGCTTGAGATGAAATTATCGTTCAAGGTTTTAGCAATTCTGAGTAGTATGTTATAATTGGGGATTGTTGTAGTTATACAAGCCTGTTACTTTCGGTGAGAGAATATTCTCAGCCTATGGAAGGACAATGTTTACAGGTCTTTACAGTGTAGTCGTTGGTAGATGACCAGATGCTGGAAACACGAGCAGGTACATACACCCGAAACATAAGTGTCAAAACGAGCGGTGGTACCCGATATGTGAGGTGGATGTAAAAACGTTATAGCGCCTGTATTTTCCCCAGGAAGTTGAGAATGATAACTGGAATTTATCCCTCCCTTGGCTAGCACATCGACAACACGAGACATGTGAACGTGCTCCGACCAATTTCGGTAATTCCACAGTTGAAGCAACAGAGTGAGGTCAGAGTGAGCTGTATTTAAAAGGTCCATAAGAGACGACAGAGAAGCTCCCACAAAAGTACATGCGTTGTGGTGACATTGATGCGGTCACCAGCCGAGAACAACAAACTTCTTTTC